GGAGTGGGAGAGGGAGAAGCAGGCTTCCCGCTGAGCAGGGAGCCCGATGCGGGGCTCGATCCCAGGACCCTGGGATCATGACCTGAGCCGAAGACAGACGCTTAACAACTGAGCCACTCAGGCACCCCAACTTTACATTGCTTTATATCTGATCGTATGTCACAGACTCCCCCAAACCCTACAACTTGATCTTCTCTGTAGCTCTGTTGCAGATAGTCTGTTTAATCTCTGCTTTTCAGAAGAGGAAACTGAGGCTTAAAAGAGCATATACCATTCATCTAAAGTCATAGAGTAAATATCAGACCCATGATTTGAATGCAGACATAGCCATATTGGAAATCCATACTTTTGGCCTTCATTTACCTTCGGCTGTTTCTGAGCGCGCCCCCCCTCCTTCCCCCCGCCAAAAAAACACATCCACTGATTCTGTCTTCAAACACTGAACAGAGAGCTTGAGCCCGTGGAAAAGTGGTTACTGTAGCAGTCAGGTTTTAAGCTGACAGGGACAGTGTAGCAAATACCATTCCTCCCTACCTGTCTCCTCTGGAAGTTCTGAGAGCTGGGGCTGGGCTTGTGAAACTTGACCAGCTGTGCCACAGAATGTTTTCTAAGAGTCCTGGATATGAGTACACAACAGAAAGATTAGATATAATGAACAATTAGATTGCAGTAAAATTCACTAATGTGTTTTTCTTCCAGTCACCTTCCAAAAAAGAAATACATGAGCCTTAGTACGTCACTATTTATCTTTCCAACTTACAAAACATTGAACTTTGAGAAAATGAACTTTTATTTGTCTTGCTGAGTAGAACTTTACTTTGATTTGAGTTTATAAGCACAAAGTCATGATATTTTCACTGTGTGAAAGGCATATTTTTTTCACCTTAGTAAGACTTTGGGACAGCTGAAATGAATTAACTTGAACATTCCGAGAAATCACCTTTTGGCTGAAACTACACAGAAAAAGTCTCACTTCAAAAGATTTTTAAAGAGACATATGTGCAATGGAAATGACTTTTCAGTCTCAATATACTGACTGCCTTTTTGATGATTATCATGTTTATTTTAACAAATTTCAAAGGACATGGTTCAGATTTCAGAATAGTGCTTACTTTTTCCGGTTGCCAATATTTACCTGGTTAATGGTATCTTTATTTGTCAGTTTAAATTATTGGTGGTTGATTTTTAACAGCATGTTGATGAAAATTCTCCTATTTTAAAATCATACTTGAAAATATCCTGTTGTCTTAATTTTTCCATTCATCTTTCATATGTTTAAGAGAATAGTAGGAAACTTTAGCTGTTTGCAATCCTAACAACATTGCTTTTCAGATACTAGTGGTAGGATTTGAAGCAATTTAGAGTACAAAATCTGAAGCCAACAGGCTTGGCTTGAATTCTGGTTCTGATAATGTTGTCAGCCATGTGATCTCGGACAAGTCACTGAAGTAACAAGCATAATTAAATCCATTAGGTATTTATAAACAAGAATTCAAATATAGACCAAAGCAGTAGTAAAGAGGAGATACCCCCCCAAAAAAAACTAGCTTGAAATATTACAGAAACCATAAACTTCACTTTCTATTGCCTTTTTTTTTTTTTTTTGAGAGAGTGAGCGGGAAAGGGGGAGGTGGGGGTGGGGAGTTGTGGAGGAGGGAGAGAGGGAGAGGGAAAGAGAGAATCGTAAGCAGCCTCCATGCCTGGCATGAGCCCAATGTTGGGCTTGGTCTCACAACCCAGAGATCATTACCTGGTCAAAATCAAGAGTCAGATGCTTAACCAACTGCCCCAGGCACCCCTGTTGCATTTTTAAAGAGAAGATGTGGGAATGGTATGTTACACACAAAAAGGGTAAAACTTAAATGTTCTTGCCATTCAGAATGAAGAAAAGCATACAGAAGTTGATGTACATAGTATATAATCTGTTTCCAACCTAGCAGCTTTGGCGATCCTTTTAAAACATAAATCAAATAGGGGCGTCTGGCTGGCGCAGTAGGTTAAGCATCTGACTTTGGCTCAGGTCATGATCCCGAGGTCCAGCGATGGAGCCCTGTGTTGGACTCCATGCTCTGCAGGGCGTCTGCTTCTCCCTCTTCCTCTGCCCCTCTCCCCACTCAGGCTCCCTTTCTGTTTCTCTCTCTTTCAAATAAATAAATAAAATCTTAAAAAAAAAAAAGTAAGTCAGATAAAGTCACTTCCCTGCTCTAATCTCTTCAGTGGCTCCCTACCTCACTTAGAGTAAAAGCCTTATAATGATCAGTCTGGCTGTCAAACCCCAAGATTGCACCGCCCCCCCATCCCACTCTGCCATTACTAACTTAAATTCTACTGTCCTCATTCATTCTGTTTTAGCCACACTGGCCTTCTTGCTGTTTCTTAAGTACAGCAGGCATACCTCAGGGCCTTTGCACAGTCCTTTTTCTCTGTATGGAAAACTCTTTTCTCAGATATCCATGTACCTCAGTCTACATCTCCTTCAGTTCTTTGCTCATATGTCACCTGGATATACCTACTCTAACCACCATACTTAAAAAAAAAGCAAATTCTGTAACTTCCCTATATTCCCAATCTCTCACCCTTGTTTCCTTTTTTCTTTTTCTATATTACTTACTACCTTCTCTCATAGTATATACCTTACTTATTGTATCTGTTATTTACTGCCCTCCCCTGCTAGACTATAAGCTCCCTGAAGGAAGAGGTCTTTGTTTTGTTCACCTGGATATATGCCTCATACACAGAAGAGTATCTGGAACATGGTAGGCACTCAGTAGATGTATGCTGAATGAATAACTCTCCTTTTTAGTTCTGTCAGCCTAAAGAGGTAAACTGAGGCAAGCTCAAAATTGTCAAAAAGATGAGTTTATTCAGGAATAGCAGGGGAACTGCAATTTAGGATGTGCAAACTATAGCAAGCTACAGTGAGTCTTTTGAGGGTTTGGGGTAGGCTGTATTTACGGGCAGGGAATGTAAAGAGGGGATAGTTCAGTTAGAGTCTGTTAAAATCAGAAGCAAATGGAGACCAGGTTTGAAATTCTCCAAGCAGACAAAACTAGTGCAGTCAGTCATACAAACAAAACTCAAGTCAACTTATTTTGGGAGACCAGCCCAATCTGGATCGTTCCGTGTTCATGCTTCTGGAAACCATAAGTACATCTTCCCAAGGTTGATATGAGGCAACTCCTGATCAACTCCCTATCATTTAAGAAAATTCCAGTGTTATCACTTTTCTAAAAAGTCAGTCATTTACGGGAAATCAGTCTCTTTGTCCTTGAGCTTTGTTTTTCCGAGGACATATGTGTGAGATTTTTTTGTTTTATATCCTTCGGTTTCATTTTAAATTGAAATTCCATTATCGTTCTCTCTATATATGTATATATGCCTATGTATACATATAGATATATATGATAAACACTAAGTACATAATTAAAAGAATATTATTGATTTTAAACAGATTTAAAGTCAATAACAAAAGGTAGAAACTTAGCTATGAAACAGCATACCAAAGATGGAGAGGGAAGATTTCAAGACAACTTTAAGAAGAGATGCAGATAATAAAAATGATGAATAATTCTTAAAGTCTCCTGAGTTATAACAACACTGTGCCTTTGTGACATGAAGTAAGGCCACTTGAAATGGTGCCACACTCCCTTCTGCCATGTGAATAACCATTCCTCTCCCCAGTACCTTCTTCTGTGCCTTTATCAGTTTTTTTTCCATCATTGCATGTCAGATATGCCGATTACATGCATAGGTATTCACTGGATTTGAGTTGCCAGAGCTTTGAATGCAATTGGAAGAAGAATAGATATTTGGAGGAGAAAGACGAGCAAGGAAAAAAATTTAGATGTTGTTATTTATACTGCATTAGAATAAATCGGTTTTCTCTATATATTTAGTCAAAGTAACCGTTTTTCTCTCTCTCATAATTCTTTCCCCTTATCCTTCACTAAGTTAACCATTCTGAATCCTTTATCCTCTGGGAAGCTTTTTTTTTTTTAAATAAAAATTAGTCCAAATTAAAGCTTTACCTCATTTATTAGTGCTTGTAGTATTCACTATACAATGAACTATTTGATAAGTAGGATTCTCTAGTAGATGATAGCACATACAGTTGAGTACCTTGATATGTTTCTGTAGTGTATACTGTTGTTTGGGTTGGTTGGTTTTCTTGGTTGAATGTCCACGCCTTTAAAAACAGATCAAATACCCCTTGTGGTCAGGGGCTACAGGGGCTAGACCCATGGAGTTCTTCAATACTTACTTGACTTATTGTTCCCAATAAGTGTCTCTACTGGCCAGGAGTTACTTGTTTTAATTTTTTTTTTTCTTTTTGTGTCTAATACACACCCAGGGATGTTTTGTAAAACTTTGTCTTTCTCTTTATAGGTATCATACAGACTTTTTGAAGACATGGGCCTCTTTGAAGCTTTCAAAATTCCAGTTAGGGAATTTATGAATTATTTTCATGCTTTGGAGATTGGATACAGGGAAATTCCTTGTAAGTATGAGTTAAAAATAATACTTTTCAAATCCACTGAATTTGCTCTGGGTAATGGGATATTGAATCATTGGTGACTAGCAGAGAACTACACATGGTAAACCTGGAGATTACAGCCTGTTTCAGAGTCCTGGTCCCTTCACTTCTCAGCTGTTGCCTCTGCATGCCTCATTTCTTAATCTGTAAAATGGGGATCATAATGTCTTTGAGGATTGTAATAGCTTTGTAGGATTGTTAGGAAGATAAAATGAGGTAATAAATCTAAAAGGGTTATAATAGTGCCTTCACATAGTAAGCCAGTTTAAGTGTGTGCTCCATAAATAATTAAATGTTAAATTTATTGCTTATTTTATAATACACTCCTTTTATTGGGTGAGTTCAACTTTTGTTCTCGCATCTGGAGAGTTAAATCATGAACTCTTGAAGTTTTTTTCAGTATAAGAAAGACCTCGCTGGGGGTGGAGGGACAGGAGGGTGATGGTCTAATTAATAAAATAGAAAAAAAGAGACACCTAAAAGTTTGTGAAGAAATTATTAGAAACATTTGAAAAATCAGATAAATGTGAAGACCAAAGGAAGGGACACAACCAAGTGTTCAAGTTTATGAACTTAAAATATTGTGAAAGTAATTTTGTCATTCATAATAATGCAAAATTGGAACAGAGAGGAGATGGTAAATTTTCAGTTTGGAGCATTTCCAGTATCATCTGAACATGTGAGTAGAATCAGCCTACATGCTACAAAATACATGGAACTGAAGAAAATGTCCAAAAACCCAGTCAGGGAAGTTGTGAAAATGTGCAGAAATCATGTGGTACTTTTAGAAAATAAATGCATAACAAGAGTAGACATCATACGTTGGTTGAAGAATGCCTTAGAAATGCGTCGTTCAAATCATGTTTTAACTTAAGTTTTAAAATTGCTTTTATACACCTTAGACTTCAGAACCCCATGACTTTTCCTAGTTGCAAACAACTGAAGCTAAATAAATATTCTACGGAGACAGATAAAGTACAGGTATTTCCAGAAAGGGATAGTACATTAAACTAGTGATCCGTTATTAACATATTGTTTTTCAAAATGCCAACCACATGCTACATTGGAATGAAAATACACAGCTGATGGTGTGTGATAGGAGAAGATAATGAAGAATTGGATCTACAAATGAGATTTGTTGGAGAATATGGGACCAAAATGCAGACAAGACAAGACAGTGGGTATAGAGGAGAGAGGAGCTTAAGAGCCCTGGGCCCCTTGGGAAAGTCTGGCCGGTAGGGCCATGGAAATAGAGAGAGAGAAAGACAAAAAAAGGGATAGTTTGAAAGAATCTCAAGATAAGCCTTGCTTTCTTAATACCATTTTCCCAGGGCACACCCTGGTTGGATGCCAGTGATTGACATAAGTGTTACTGATTTTTCAACAGCTAGTCATCAGATTAATTTACAAATTGTTATATTTCCAAATGTATTCTAGTGACCTAATCTGCTATAGCCAAGTCCATTAAGTACCAATTGATATAACTACTAACTTTTCTCTAAGCAAGTATGTCATAAAATCATAGGGAAAGTTGATCAATATTTAAGCATAAAAAGAAGTTTCCAGATTCTAAATTTTATTATTCATTTTTATATTTTCTTATTTTACAACTGAATAGATGTTTCTTTTTTCTGAAATAGTGGCTTCTTCATTCCATGTGAAAAGAATTTGTTATAATAAACCTGGTTGTTCTTCTATTAGGAAACCCAAACATTTTCCGTAAAGGGAATTCATTTACATCTCACAGAGAAGTTTTAGCTTGACTGGTGATCCCTTTTAAATAGTAATTCCTTGCATGTGGTAGTGTTGTAAATTTAGACTAATATAGATATTTATTAAAAGCTTTGCTTATCAAAAAAAAAAAGCTTTGCTTATCATTAATTTTAATTATCATACACAAAAATTTGTTATATGTCTCCTTACTTTAATATCTACTCCTAGAGGATTATATTTCTTATCGCTCTATCTAAATAAACCCATACCTAAATGAAAAAGCCTGAGAGTAACTAAAATGGGATTAGATTAATGTTACTATGACGATGACCTACAATACTAGAAACTAAATTTTATTATACTTCTAAGCACACTTTTAACAATTTTTAAGAGATGAAGACTTTTAAATTTGTACCCAGAGCCCTTACTAAAATTTGAGAAATCTAGATTTAAAAATAGACACAGGTAGGTAGTTAGATATTTCATGGAGTAGCAGTGGACAAGGTATAAATATAGGCAACTCACTGATAGAAATATGATACCGAATATATATTTGTTCAATAAAGGTAAGGATAGGGGCAACTGGGTGGCTCAGTTGGTTGAGCGACTGCCTTCAGCTCAGGTCATGATCCTGGAGTCCCGGGATCGAGTCCGACATTGGGCTGCCTGCTCAGCAGGGAGTCTGCTTCTCCCTCTGACCCTCCCCCCTCTCATGTGCTCTCTCTCTCTCTCTCCCTCTCTCTCAAATAAATAAATAAAAAATCTTTAAAAAAATAAATAAAGATAAGGATAAATTAAGATATAGTTGATACTCAGTTGCACAGAGAAATAAATAATGTTCATTATTGTTCACAGTCCCTTTCAACTGGGCATATTGGCAAGTAAAGAAGATAAATCATCAGGTCCTATTCATTCATGAATTCAAAGTTAGTTTTGAGGGTGCTTTTTCTGTGTTCAGAGACTTTCATCTCTAAAATATATTCTTCCTAACACCTCCTCTCATTCTGGTTATTGAAGTTGGAGAAATGGGTAGAATGGCAGCAATGAGAATAATCTTGCTCAATCTGTATGTCATGTGCCCACCAGTTTTAAAGCTAGATACTGAGGTGGCATGGGACAAGCTAGAAAGGCAGAATTATGACAGTATTTGCTATAATCCAAAGGGAAAAAATGTTTAAATTGTCACTTCTCTTCTTTAACACCTTCCCAAAGGAGCCTAGGTGGAATTTTCAATTGAAAATCTATAGGTCTAAAACTCTATGCATTTTACATATAACTTCAACCCTCCGTGCCAGCTCACTTCAACTTGGCGCTTGAGGGATAAGGAGAAAGTTGAGAAAACAAGTGTGTCAAGACAGAAGAGGGAGCTGGGCAGACTGTGGGAATGAGATAGGGCATGTTGTGTTTGGTGTGTGCATACGTGTTTCCGTGTTGTCAGGGAGGCAGAGGGGCTTGCTGGATGGGCAAGGGAACTATCAAGAGAGTCAGGGGTTTGTCCAAAATGCAGCGGTGGAAGAAGAGGGATGATAATAAGAAGAAGAGCTCTGATACCATTCCTTCTCCCTCTCAGTTGCCTACCATGGCTGTAAGAAGAGGAATTTTTAAGCATGTTTATGTGTCCTACAGAAACCTGCAGAATCCCCTGTGTTGATCTAGCGAGCTTATTTCCTGGGTGCCTTTGCTCCTGAGTGGGTCTCCAGAAAGTTAATGGTGAGAACAACAGCAGTTCCAGCACTTGGTACAATACTTGCCCATAGTACATGCTAAGTAAATATTTGTGTAATAAACATGTTATTGACTGCTTATTAGGTGGATGATTTTCCATCCTGCTTCAATGACAGTGACAGTGTTTTTTTTCTGGATCTACACATGCATAACTGGAGATTTTTCTTTTTAAGGAATTAGGTTTGGTTAGCTATTATTTAAGTATTTTTGAACCCATACTCAAAAGCAAAAGGGCTACTTTTTTTTTTTCATATACCTTCTTTTCCTAATTTTTTAATCAAGATTATACTAACCTCATAAAATGAGTTGGGTAGCTTCCCTCCTTTTTATATTTTCAGGACTAGATTATTTAAATAAGATTATTTGTTTATTGAAAGCTTACAAAAATTACCTATAAAGCCTTCTGGCCCTTGGCCTTAGGGTGGGGAATAGGACAAAGAGCAGTAAGCTCCAGAGCTGCAAGTTTGTCTATACTTGATGTTGTCTGTCACTCCACACAGGCTCCACCAGCACCCTGATACTGCCCCATCCATGCTTGCAATGCTGGGCACATGCACAGGGTTCTGTGACTTGCAAGAGTAGTGATAATTACTTGCCCACAGTGATTTTCCCAGCTTGCAGCAAAGGAGAAGAAAAGACCTCAACTCAGAAGCTCTCTCCCAGCCCATCCCCTAACAGTGGCAGCGGGGCATTTTCTTCTCTACCAGGTCATCACTGCCTTCTCCCTCCCCCAAGAGTTTAGCATATCTTTTATTTTAGCTCTTCAATTCTTAACAAATCCAGCATTGATTTTGGAAGAAAACTAGTGATCTGTGCTAACTCACCATCTAGTTCCAAGAGCAATCATGTATTTTTTTTTAAGATTTTATTTATTTATTTGAGAGAGAGAGAGAGAGCACTCACAGCATGAAAGGGAGGGATGGGCAGAGGGAGAGGGAGAAGCAGGCTCCCCGCTGAGCAGGGAGCCCTACACGGAGCTGGATCCCAGGACTCCAGGATCATGACCTGAGCCGAAAGGCAGATGCTTAACTGACTGAGCCACCCAGGCGCCCCAGCAATCATGCATTTTATGTGAATTATATTTACATTAATTGCAAGCTTACTATGTGTCAGGAACTTAAAAATATGTTTTCTTCTGTAATTCTCACAATTGTACTGTGAAATAAGTCACTATTATTTAATATGTCTATATTTTTAAGATTAGGAGATGAGACGTAGAGTTGTGAGCAACTCACTCAAGCTCGCACAGGTAATAAATACAGAACAGAGACAAATTCAGATCTCTCCTAAATCCAGACACTTTTAGCGTGACCAGTTTCGTGCATGGCACAGGTTATAGATCTAAAATGTTTGGTCTTAGATGACTTGAGATAGTCTATACACAGAGATATAGACTTCAATTTCAATGAAATTGTTCTTTGGATGGCTAGATAATATCCGGCAATGACACAGGGCACAGGGTTTCCTCTTTCCTCCTTTGGAACCTTGGATGTCTGTTCTAAACACATCCTCTCAAGTCCTTACAAGGCCCCTCTACTGAAATGCTGGGTGTTTACATAAGATTTAGCTACATGTCATCACTTAAAGACTGACTCTTAAGAGTTGCCAGGAATGTAGGGAAATAGGCACCATGTACCCACATTCCCCGTGTGTGCCACCAACACCAAAAATGTTAGTTTTTTCTGGGGCATCTTGGTGGCTCAGTCGGTTAAGTGTCTGCCTTCTGCTCAGGCCATGATCCTGGGGTCCTGGGATCCAGTCCCACATCGGGCTCCCTGCTCAGCGGGGAACCTGCTTCTCCCTCTCCCTCTGCCCCTCCCCCAACTCAGGCTCCTGTGAGTGCCATCTCTCTCTCTCAAATAAATAAATAAAATCTTTAAAAGAAAAAAAATTTTTTTTTCTTCCCTGACCAGGGACCAGATGATTTCTCCTGTTCCTATTACCATTCTTACTGTTCTTTTCTGTTTTCTCTTTATCTGTTGAGTATTATTCAGAGATGTGATCTACTATACTGGAAGAGACTGTATTATGGTTGGTCATTGGAAATAGAATATGTAAAGTTAGCATACTTAAGATAGTGTATAGCAATCAATGAAAAGGCCAGTAAACAAGAGAAAAACTTGGAAGAATTGCACCAGAAAAAAAGGTGAGCCAGGAACACATCAGGCCTTTGGTCATGGTTCAGTAGAAGCCGAACTGCACATATAGAATAGACCCCCTTCCCATGATAATGACATTGTAGCTAGAGGATTTGGTTTTCCCATAGATTTTGCTCTTCTAAATGACTCAAATCCCTATGTTAATGTACAAGGAAGTTTTTATTTTTCTCTTCAGGTATTTCCTAGAGCTGTATTCCCAAATTAGAATTTTTAGATCAGAGAACATCATTAATTGTGGTTTTCAATTTTGCTTTATGAATTTAACCTACATATAGAAGATATATTATTAATTTTTACCGTGTTTTAAGTTTGATGTAAAAGAATACTACTTTGTTTTATTCACAGACTATATTTGCATGCTCTTTATCAGAGATGAAATATTAGGTGGTATAGATCATTGGTCTGACCCAGTTGAAGTATGTCATGGGTCTTTTATTCTGGTCCTCTGCATAATCTTATACAGGAGCATGGAAATAAGTATAAGGGTAAACAGTGCAGTGATTGCACATAGTGAGCTTTCTATAGATGTTAGGTTTCTGGTAGACTCTGGACACAGATTTGTCCATTTCAGACATCTGCATGCATAATAAATGTTGTGTGTGCTTTTTTTTTTCCTTGTTACTATGGATATTATGGAGTCATGGAAGAGTAATCAAAGAGTATTTGTCCTAGAATGTTTGGCTGCCTTTCACTGGGGTATTAAAATGCTAAGACTAAACTGTTTACCCAGTAGATGGCACTCTTAGTCCTTGGACCCCAAAGTTCACAAATGAATGTTCCTTTGCCTTGGTTACAGATCATAACAGAATCCACGCCACTGATGTGTTACATGCTGTGTGGTACCTTACTACGCAACCGATTCCGGGCCACTCAACTGTGATTAATGATCACGGATCCGCAAGTGATTCAGGTACGTATTAAGTGCATCTATGCTCCCTTGTTAACTATGGGGCGGGGTGGGGGGGAAGCATTTCTTTAAAAAAGGAGGTCAAGAAAATAGTATCAGTTTAATACTTTTTAAAAATTTCTATACGTTCATTTTCTCTTCTCAGATTCTGACAGTGGATTTACACATGGACATATGGGATATGTCTTCTCAAAAATGTATAATGTGCCTGATGATAAATACGGATGTCTATCTGGAAATATCCCTGCCTTAGAGTTAATGGCATTGTATGTGGCTGCAGCCATGCATGATTATGATCACCCAGGAAGGACTAACGCTTTCCTGGTGGCAACTAGTGCTCCTCAGGTAAATCTTTCAATTTGGATTCAAAGAAATAATTCGATTTAGAGATTTTTTCCAAAAGAAATTAATTTTATAAATTTTGATTTATAATAGGGACCAAATGAATATGAGCCAAACTATATTTAGCCCTAGGATATTTGTAGAGACCAAGCAAATTTTGAAAAGATATCATGTTTGTTCCAAGATATTAATGGCAGGCATGCAACTTTATTAACCTTGGGAAACCCTTCTCAGTTTTCTTCTTAAGAAGAAAAACTAGTTGAATCTGTAGTAATGAACCTTCTCAACAAAGAAAATCCAACCTATACAAAAGTCCCTTTTTGAAAAGATTAGAGAACCAGATCTTTCTTGGACTTTTAATTATGTAAGTCTTCTTGGTTCATAAAACCCATTCCTTTGAAATACATTTATTATAACAACCGTTATTCCTCTGACATTTCTATTGGATAGTAGGATTTAAATATCAATTAATTTCATTCATTTGAGGGAAATTTTTTTTTTTTGGGAATTTTTTTTTTTTACTTGAACATAGTATTCCCAAAACAATAACTTTAAAGAAGTCCATTTTCTTATATACTTAAATTTAGGTTAAAAATTAATCACTGAGGGGCGCCTGGGTGGCTCAGTCGTTAAGCGTCTGCCTTCGGCTCAGGTCATGATCCCAGGGTCCTGGAATCGAGTCCCACATCGGGCTCCCTGCTCGGCGGGAAGCCTGCTTCTCCCTCTCCCACTCCCCCTGCTTGTGTTCCTGCTCTCGCTGTCTCTCTCTGTGTCAAATAAATAAATAAAATCTTTAAAAAAAAAATTACTGAGTATCTTAGCATCTCCATCTATGTAATTAAACTCAGTAAGTTTCTCTTTGATTTAATTAGCTGGATCTAATGAATCATTGAACACTACATCAAAAACTAATGATTTACTATATGCTGGCTAATTGAACATAATAAAAAAATAAACAAAAACAAAAAATAATTAGCTGGATCTATGTTAGTAAGTATTCTGAGATCCTGTTTTTTCTTTCTAGAGGATCTAGAAGCCAATCTGCTCTCATACTTATTTTGTTTGTTTGTTTGCTTTTTGTCTTTTACCCAACTCCCATCCATTTCCACCTGTCTTAAAGACTAGACTAGAATTTTCCTCTAATCTATATACAATAAAAATATCCTGATATTTTTTCCCCTCACTACTTAAACTTATTTCAACGTGTCCTTCATACACCAGAATTATTTTTCCTAAAGATGGGCAAATCTTTTTGCCAGCACCATTTATCATTCATATTTTCCTAGACATGAATGCATTTTTACTAGTATAATTTAAATTTTCATGTAGTTTGGCTTTCCTTTTTATCCTTATGCCTTTTTTTTCCTGTGTTGTCTATCTACCACTCTAGTCTTCAAGCAAGGTTTAGGTAACTTCCTCTTCTTTTGTAGTGTCCCTCAGCATTATTAGAGAATTCCAAGCAAGTAGATATTTATTATACACCTTCAGTTACTAGTTGGAGGATGATATCTTCTATGGCTGCTTGTGGGATGAGAATGTTTTAAATTATAAGCCTCTCAGGGAGTCCATTCCTATTTATTAGTTATATGTGCTTAAGAAAAGGTAATTCTTGGGACACCTGGGTGGCTCAGTCAGTTATGCGTCTGCCTTTGGCTCAGGTCATGGTCTCAGGGTCCTGGGATCCAGCCCCACATCGGGCTCCCTGCTCAGCAGGACGCCTGCTTCTCCCTCTCCCACTCCCCCTGCTTGTGTTCCCTCTCTCGCTGTGTCTCTCTCTGTCAAATAAATAAATAAAATCTTAAAAAAAAAAGAAAAGGTAATTCTTATTCTAAATGCAGAAAGTAACTGACTTACCTCTTAGGAATTTTAGTATATTTGGATTGTTTTTTAAGATTTTATTTATTTATTTGAGAGAGGGAGTGAGAGAGAGAGAGAGAGCACAAGCAGGGAGGGAGGGAGAGGGAGAAGCAGGGAGCCCGACGTGGGGCTCGATCCCAGGATCCTGAGATCATAACTTGAGCTGAAGGCAGACGCTCAACTGACTGAGCCACCCAGGTGCCCCTATTTGGATTTTTTTAAATAATTAAATTTCTGTGCAAAGAAATCTGATAAAAGCTAACTCTAAGCCCCTCATTTGCAAGAGTTTAGAGTAAAGTTTCAAAGAAATGAACTTCATCTTACAAAAAAAGGAAATTTCAACCAAGGAAAGTAATCAATAGTCAATGTAATTACAATATGGAATTCTTGATAACCAGCAGTCACGAGGTTACGTTTCTGTGTTCCGTGAAAAAAGAGGATCCTGAAGGCTCTGCCTATTCTTGTGTATTTTTTATGATTTTTTTTTTATTTAAAAGTTGAATCTTTCAGTCTTTGCCTTATTTGCCTAGGCGGTGCTCTATAATGATCGTTCAGTTTTGGAGAATCATCACGCAGCTGCTGCATGGAATCTTTTCATGTCCCGGCCAGAGTACAACTTCTTAGTTAACCTTGACCATGTGGAATTTAAGCATTTTCGTTTCCTTGTCATTGAAGCAATTTTGGCCACTGACCTGAAGAAACACTTTGATTTCGTAGCCAAATTTAATGCCAAGGTAACTAGATTTGTACCAGTCTTCATTTTATGACCATATTGAAAGATGTCATGGAATCAAAGTGTGGAACAAAACTTACTGCTCTCACCTCTAATACGTCAACTGTGAAAATGAAATGCAATAAAATGTTTAACCAGAAGCAGATATATGGCATTGCTCCCAGTCTAGAAATCTGAGAAGTTGAGGTGCTGTCTACCTATATATTATTCTTTGTGCTGCAAAGAAAGAAAATTCTCACTGTCATTGGGTTTTTTTGTTTGATTTAATTTGCTCTCATCTCTGTGGTATACTAACATAAATTGTCTGGAAGTAAAAGGTCAAAACCCTGAAACAAAATTTCATACATCAAACATAAATACCCAAATGTTAACTTAAGAAAATTTCTTATCATTTGTAGTTATATTTATTTACTGGTCATTGGTAATATATGCTAATTTTAAATAGCATTTATTTTCAGTTCCATAATTAATAATTTATCATTTAAAATTTTATTTTTCTGATGAACTATTTTACTATTATGCAAGCCAGTAGCACTTTAAATAACTAAGAAGTTCCTCATTTCTTGGTATTCTACCCGTTAAGAAGATAATAAATATTTTGTTGTTTATTCTGTCCAACTCTTGCTTTCATTAAAGCAAACCACACTTTACCTTTACCCCTCAAACAGGTGAATGATGATGTTGGAATAGATTGGACCAATGAAAATGATCGCCTACTGGTTTGCCAAATGTGTATAAAGTTGGCTGATATCAATGGGCCAGCTAAGTGTAAAGAGCTCCATCTTCAGTGGACAGAGGGTATTGTCAATGAATTTTATGAACAGGTAACTAACTTAACTGTTTATCTTAATTCATACTTGGGCTGCTCATAAATTCACAAAAGCTTGCAAAAGCTGTAAAAGTGTGATCAGTCTCTTTTATATTCAACTAACATCAGAAAAAAAACTAAAAACTCTAAGATAAAGTTATTTGCAAGTATTGCAGAGGGTGGAGGTGGGGGCAGGCAGGAAAAGATGTTGAAATAATGACCTACTGAGACATTAGCAAGACCATTGACATATTGTGTCTTTTTTTAAAAAATAAATTTATTATAATAGAAGCTCATTTACATTTATATGGATGAATGTACATCAGATTAAGTTCATTTACTTTTTTTTTTTAAAGATTTTATTTATTTATTTGAGAGAGAGAATGAGATAGAGCATGAGAGGGGGGAGGGTCAGAGGGAGAAGCAGACTCCCCGCTGAGCAGGGAGCCCGATGCGGGACTCGATCCTGGGACTCCAGGATCATGACCTGAGCCGAAGGCAGTCGCTTAATCAACTGAGCCACCCAGGCGCCCAAGTTCATTTACTTTTAATAGTCAATAACAGCATATGAAAAAGCTTTATAAATAGACATTTTATTTGACATGATAATGTGCGAGTAAACACACTACTGAAAAATCTACCACAAAAACATAAGCATAAGGTGATCTTCCCTACATTACCCTACAGTGGTCAGATTATATGTGAAACTTTGAGTACTGTGAACTACTCTCTTAAGAGGATTCTGGAGGTAGTGGAGCATGGGTAAAGGATAGGAATCAGTGGCATAAAACGACATGATGAGGGTTGCTGGAGGGGTGGTGGGTGGGGGGATGGGATAACTGGGTAATGGGCATTAAGAAGGGCACTTGATGTAATGAGCAGTGGGTGTTATATGCAACTGATAAATTACTAAATTCTACCCCTGAAACTAATAATACAGTATATGTTAACTAAATTGAATTTAAATAAAAAATTTAAAAAAAAAAGAAGTGAAGATAATTTCCCTAGGCGGGGGGTTGGGGGGAAGGTGTGTGGGGGGGAATGGAGTTGATATAGTAACTGTCTTCAGATACTTTAAAGACTGACATACAAATTTAGGATTAAGTGTATCATGTTGGGGAGATTAAAGAAAATTATCACTTAACACAGGGTCTGATTTATAAGAAACAGTAGATTTCTCCTATAGAAGTCTATAGAAGTCTTTCAGTCTATAGAAGTTATAGGGAGATTGATTTCAAGACAATGTGAGAAAGAAATATGTATTATAAAGGTATCCAGAAATAAAATGAGGCACCTTTTTAAGTAATAAATAGCTATCACTGGACATACTTGAAGAGGGATTAGAAAGAACTTTTGTGGGTTTTATAGACAGGACTCATACATAGGATAAAAGGTTTGTACTTTCTAGAAAATAATGTATTGCCTTTTCTAGAAATGAGATTAATTCATAATCAATCTCCAAATATTGAAATACAGAAAAAATAGGGGCGCCTGAGTGACTTAGTTGGTTAAGTGGCTGCCTTTGGCTCAGGTCATGATCCCAGGGTCCTGGGATCCAGTCCATGTTAGGCTCCCTGCTCAGTGGGGAGCCTACTTCTCCCTCTCCCCCTGCACCTCCCCCCACTCATTCTCTCTCTCTCAAATAAATAAGTAAAAATCTTAAAAAAATAAATAAAATAAAGAAATAAAGGAAAATGATAACCCGGTTATGATGATTCTACTACATAGACATAACCATTGTTGATATTTCAGTATATTTCCTTCGTTAATTTTGCTAGGTGACTACTGGTTGACAGTCTATTTTTTTTCCAGAAAGATTTGAAGTAGTTTAAAATAAAAACACTTATACAGTAGTACTATTAAACATGTTGACAAATAAGAATATCAGAAATCATATAATCACAGAAGATATAATTCAACCAAAAGCTGGGATAAGGTAGCACCTTTAACTGAGCAATAAATTATTCTAAGCTTTACTGGCAGCCAAGGCAAAAGGAAGAAAACATGATAGATTATGTATTTGTTTCATAATTATTCCCAGGATTGCATTTTGAAGTACATTTATACTCTAATAGAACAAGGACTGACATAATAAGAAATACTATCTATTAAGACATTAGACCATTTCTTCTATTGCCCTTTGATCAAAGCCAAAAACTCAAGATCACCAAAGTGATAAATGGCAACAAAGCATTTCGACAGGAATCTTTTAGCAATTTGGGTAGAATCTTTTAGCAGTCAAGTAAAAGAGGGAGTTCACACATGAATATCTGGGTTCTTACATAATTGCAGATTTTAGGTGCCAAGTGAATGTTAACTTTACTAGTATTTTTAACTTTCCATGTCATTTATCTTTCTGGTCGACTCTTCATGCTAAATTCCTATTTCTAGGGTGATGAAGAGGCCAGCCTTGGGTTACCAATAAGCCCCTTCATGGACCGTTCTGCTCCTCAGCTGGCCAATCTTCAGGAATCCTTCATCTCTCACATTGTGGGTCCTCTGTGCAACTCCTATGATTCAGCAGGACTAATGCCAGGGAAATGGGTGGAAGGTAGTGATGAGTCAGGAGATACTGATGACCCAGAAGAAGAAGAAGAGGAGGAGGAAGCACCAAATGAAGAGGAAACCTGTGAAAATAATGAATCTCCAAGTAAGTTTTATAAAACCTATTTCTACTGTATTTTTCCTAAGATTTTTTTTAACATAGGTCAGATAAATTTTATGCTTCTCATGAATTACATAGTTTGTGTCCAGATATCATCTTCATCTGATTGTGTATAACCTCCCTTCCCTAATATCATAACCCTAGAAGTTACAGATAATGGAATCTATTATAATACCACATTCATACAAAGATACAGCCCCTGTTAAGAAGTAAAGAGAAATTAAGCAGTTGAAACCTGTTCTTCAGGGTATCTTAATGATTTAGAGATGAAAGGAATTTCAGATACCATCTAGAGCAACCATAGACTTTTGTTGGCTTAGTTGGAGGAAGGCCATGTGAAGCAGTAAGAGGTAATTATCACCCATTCATGTAACAAATATTTATTAAGCATCTACTTTGTGCCAGGCATTCTTCCAAGTACTGAAGATAGAGCCATGAACAAATCAGACAAAATATAAATAAATCCTTGCCTATTTAGACTTTTTTTCCAGTAGACACTAAGCAAGACAAATCAGTAGGTCTCTAACATGTGAGGTACTGATAAATGCTAGAGTTAAAAAAAAAAAAAGGAAGAGGGATATGAAATATTGCAGAGAAAGGTTAAAATTTTAGATAAGGTAGCCACAGATGGTCTAAATAAAAAAAGATTAAAAAAAAAAAAAGACTGAAAGAAGTGGGGGAAGAAGTGGGGGAATGATCCATGGAAGTATAGATGGAAAAAGCATGCCAAGGAGAGAGAAAAGCAAACCATATAAATGTCCTGAGGTGGGCATTGGCTGGGTGTTCAAGAAGCATGGGGAGGGCTGGAGTAGCTGAGACAGAGGAAAGGGGGTGATGGAGCAGCAGGAGAGAGGCGGTGGGGAGCCAGATGATATAGGGTTTGAAGGTGGGGCTCTGAGTAAGGTGGGAAGCCATCAGTGATTTTGCACAGAAGAGTTAGCTGATTGAGCTTATATTTTAAATAGGTTGCCTCAGTTGCTGTATTGAGAATACTCTTGAGTGTGGGGTAGAATGAGGGTAATAAGTTAAGAGGCTGTTGAAATTACCCAAGTGAGAAAGGATTATGGCTTTGAACCAGACAGAGTAGTCACATTAAAGACGATGAAAAGTGTTTCCATCTGGTCATTGATTTGGAGCACATCATGTAGCCAAACTAATCCATTTGAACTAACCTGACTATAAAAAGAGATTATTTTTCTTCTCGTCTTGAAATATTCTCTGCTATTTCTCCTGTCACAGGGAGGAGACCCAAACAGCGTAATTAGTAAAACCCATAACCCTTACAGTGCTATTGCACAAATACTATTCTTGTGTTCACGAAAACATAGTATGTGGTTTACATCTGCCTTCAGAAAGAAAGTACAGTCGTAATTGTTTTCAAAGTGCTTACCCGAAATATTACCCCAAAGAGAGACATTCTGATCATCTGTTCCTGTTTTTTAGCACAGTCAGGAAAATTCATGACTCATTTCATCTCAGCCATCCAGTAAATACAGTCTAATGTGGGTATTGGCCCATTTTTGCCCTCATATAAGTACTCTGTTGTAAGCTTACAAAACAGAGATAGGGAGATCTTTATTAAGTATAAACTGATGAGGTTTTTGCAAATTTGGTTCTAGGCCAAATTTTTGCCTAAGTTCTGTCCTATATATTAACTTGGGTACAGAATGAGGGGAAAGTCAAAAGTTGTTTTCCTTCAATATTCTATTATCAAAGTAACTGTATTTTATATCTCTGGTGCTTATAAAAATGTTCCCATTAGCAATTTGGGGCTGATCCTGAGATTCAGAGATTGGAGCCAAGATTGGGATTCATGGCTTATGTTTTCACTTGTTCATTTAATAAATATGTATTGGTTTTCTCCTTTTCTTTTTCTTTCTTTCTTTCTTTCTTTCTTTCTTTCTTTCTTTCTTTCTTTCTTTCTCTCTCTCTCTCTCTTTTTCTCTCTTTCTCTCTTTCCCTCCCTCCCTTCCTTTCTTTCTTTCTTTCTTTCTTTCTTTCTTTCTTTCTTTCTTTCTCTCTTTCTTTTGTTTTCATTTCAAAGAGTCGGTAGTTTGCTGTCTAAGGACAGGACAGTTGTTGTTGTTTCCACTGAGTGACATTGGAAAGTGTTGTAGGCTTAGCCTCTTGGAAGAGCTTTGTTCCCATGGGCCCTTACTGATTGCTATTTGAACTCAAACACACTGAAAAAACACACACATAATACAGGCATCAAGAATCGAAGAACACAGGGCAGGAGACTGAACAGGCTCAACTTGTCAACGTTGGCTTTAGCAGCAAGCGCAACAACCAGATATTCAATTACTTTTCGTTCTGTAGGGTTAAGTTGCCATACTGACTTCCAGATTCAGATACGTTGCTCTCCAAACCTAGCTCTCCAAACTCTACTGCTGTAGAATCCTAGTAATTTTAATTTCATAATCATATTGACTGAGATGGTTAACTTGATTTAGCCTCAAACTTAGATTTCAGAAAAAATTTAGATTAAACATGCACTGATAATTTCAGCAATTTGTGAAACTTGGAGCTCTCCCAGGAAACACAGAATTAAATGTTTCAATATGGTATCCTAGGGAAAGAAGGCTTTTTCCCAACCTCATAATTAAATCTGAAAGATTCCTACAGCGAACTAAGAGGTTTCTAATGAAGTACTAAGCTGCATTTAGAATTTGAGCAATGAAAGGCTCTTTGTTCTCATTTCAAAAGGTTCCAGTGCTGAACAATTTGGCTCCCAATACAGGCATGTTTTAGACCACCTGCAGACTCTAATCTACGCAAATTTATTTGGTACAAACTTTCTTCTACGTCACCTTATTCAGTTTAATTCCAGAGAGGTTTATTGCTAACATTTAACAGCATTAATAAGAGAACAGCTGTTCTCATGGGGGCTGCCCTGAAAGGAAAAAGAGAAAAATTGAGCTTTTGTTACCTCTTCCCTATGAATACACTGCCATGAATGTGTATGACATTCAGATGGAGTAATCACCTTGAGTAGTAGCATTTCTTCTATCACCATGATTCAAATCTATCCTTTAGCCAGTGCTCATGTGGAACTCTCTTGATTCAAAGTATAGGTTAAAACGTATATTAACATTTAGGTGCACCTGGGTGGCTCAGTCGTTAAGCGTCTGCCTTCAGCTTAGGTCATGATCCCAGGGTCCTGGGATCGAGCCCTGCATCAGGCTCCCTGCTCCGCGGGAAGCCTGTTTCTCCCTCTCCCACTCCCCCTGCTTGTGTTCCCTCTCTTGCTGTGTCTCTTTCTGTCAAATAAATAAATAAAATCTTTTAAAAAAAAAGTATATTAACATTTAAAAATTTCTCAACAAACTGATTTGTACTAACTACAATAAAAACAAAGTAGAAATAGGCAAGTAGATGGCTTTGGTAGAAGAAGAATTTTATAAATGTGCTTTTAAAAATCTAATATAGGGGCATCTGGGTGGCTCGGTTGAGCGTCTGACTCTTGATTTTAGCACAGGTAATGATCTCAGGGTCATGGGATCGAGTCCTGATTCTCTCTCTCCCTCTGCCCCTCCTTCCCTCTCTCTAATAAAAAAAATCTAATGTAGTAGTAATATATCTCACTGATTTTTATAGAAATAATTCAGATTTCTTTAAATTTTGTGTGTGTGTGTGTGTGTGTATCCTTATTAAGAAACTTTCAAATGAAGAAATTGATGTCATGCTCCAGGACCCCATCACCTTCTGTCTGTATACATGCCTCTCACTCTGCCTGGGATGCTGCCCACAACTTCTTCACCCAGTGTGTTTAATTCTCAAGACTTACATCTCACCTCAGGTGTGCTATCCCTTGAAAAAAATCTTACCCATTTCCTTGCAGATCGAGTCATGTGTGTTGCCATGGTTTGATGTCTCAGAAAGAAATTGCACTGCACACTTATTAAAAATGTCAAAAAAGACTTTATTCAAGATTATTGCAATAAGGAAGAGATATTAAACTCAACTCTATTGAAACTAAGGCAGGAGAATTTTTAAGCACTAGCCTGAGCTATTGAAAAAGAACTATAGGACCTTAGAGGGAAGTTTGTCAATGTGATTGAGCCATCTGTTTGCTAATTGGTACTTGTTGAAGTTGGGCACTTACCCTCCCATGGAGACTGGAAGTTAGGGACCCTGTTTTTCTCAATGATTTAATTTCAAAAGAATCACACCCAGGTACTTGAGAAAGATGTTCCTGGGTTATAAAACTGGCTAGAAGCTGGGAGAAGATTTATCTGTATTACAAAGGAGCAGAGAAGGTATTTGCACTTTCAACTCTTATAAAGTAAATGCTATAAGGAAAGGGAAGTCAGAGAACTATAATCTGGAAGAAACCAGTCTAAAGTTTAGTCAAGGTGAGGGGAACATTCATACCATCTTGATCACATGCGTACATTGTCATAAAACACAAATACAGCATGTGTATTTCGTTTTTTGTCTTCTTTGCTCTCTTCCCTATAAACTGCAAGCTCCAAGGCAAGCTCTTGGACTAATCAGTCTTTGTGTCTGTAGCATCCAGAAAATTGCTTGTCAATTAATAGGTGGTCAATATAAGTTTGATTGATGGGTTTATCTCATAAATAAAATAACGAATACAGTAAATTGTTTTTTAAATTTTTGCTTATGACTCTGCCTGTATCCATTCCCTCTGGCATTTATTCAACTTAATGATTTCGTTATGTGTCTGTATGGTTCAAAAGTAATTCAGGATAATTGAATTTAATGTCCTTTTATTTGATCTGTATTTTTAAATCGATCTTATCCTATAAAATGCAAGAAATTTTTGTAGTATATTATAATAAAACTGTGGAAGGAATCACTAGTACTTCCATAAAAATTTTGGTGGATGTCTTCCAAGAGATCTAGTTCCTTTGGCACCCCTTATAGCAAACAGATTTTTTTTCTCATTGTTACTATTTTTTCTTCTTTTTTTTCTTCCTCCTCCTCCCCCAGATTATACATTGTGAATCATTGCTACTTCATTAAGTAAACCCAAATATCCCTGCTGACCATCCTGGTAATCTGTATTATTAACTCTTAATGTAGTCTCAATTAGATCAGAATATCCTGTGGACCACTTTTCCATATCATTGTCATTTTTATGACATATCAACACTTCACCATTTACTTGCAACTGTGGAGCAGAGACTAGGGAGAACATGATTCATCTAGTAAAATCCTACTGAATACTTACTGAAGTCTGGAGCTTTGTGAATATACATACAAAAGGAGGAACAGGTTTCTGTCCATAGGGAAGTTTACAGTCTAAGAGGGGATCTTAGCCTATTTTCTAAATTCTTGGCCTAAGTCTAAAATGGTCACTCAGATAAAGGTACTAAGAGTTATATTCTGGCCATGAACAGACCCTTTTCTAAGCTCAAGATGAGCTGCCTACTTTACCCGTGCCCTTGAAGGTCTCCCAGATATTTCATGTTCAGCGTCCCCCTCAAATCTCCTCACCTAACGTTGCCTTTCTCAGTACATCTTAATATCAGCTACTCAACACCTCAGGCCAGACAGCTCAGGGTTTTTGTTTTGTTTTGTTTTGTTTTTTATTAGTTTCAGAGGTAGAATTTAGTGATTCATTAGTTGCATATAACACAAAGTGCTCATTACGTCAAGTGCCCTCCTTAATGCCCATCACGCAGTTACCCCATCCCCCACCCACCTGCCATCCAGCAACCCTCAGTTTGTTTCCTAGAGTCCAGCATCTCTTATGGTTTACCTCTGTCTCAATTTTCATCTTATTTTTTTTCCCTCCCTTCCCCTATGTTCATCTGTTTTGTTTCTTAAATTCCACATATGAGTGAAATCGTATGGTATTTGTCTTTTTCTGACTGACTTATTTTGCTTAGTGTAATGCCCTCTAGTTCCATCCACGTCATTGCAAATGGTAGGATTTCACTCCTTTTGATGGCTGAGTAATATTCCATTGTACATATACACCACATCTTTATCCATTCATCTGTCATTTGGGACATTTGGGCTCTTTCCATATTTTGGCAGTCATGGACATTGCTGCTATAAACATTGGGGTGCATGTGCCCCTACAAATCACTATGTTTGTTATCCTTTGGGTAAATACTTAGTAGTGCATTTGCTGGGCCATAGAGTAGCTCTTTTTTTAAACTTGATTTCTCCCTCTTCTTTTTTCCCTACATCTAATCAGTTGCCAAAGTCCTGTTGATTAAACCTCACAAATGTATCTCACATTTATCAAATTCTCTTCATTTCCATTACCTTCACCCCATCCCAAGCCACCATCATCATGCCATATCCTCTCAGCTGAGTCCTTTTTCTCTCCTCCTGCCACCTTCAAAAGATTCTGTAAGACTCAGTGTGATTGCACCTGCTTTTTCACTGTCTCCCCACTAGAGTAAAAACTCCATGCTGGCAAGCATTATGTCTATCAGTGAATGACCAGAACCTTGGTACGTATTAGGTGCTTAATAAATAGGTAAGGAAGTGGAAGACTAGTGAATTATGGTATCAATTCAAATTCTTTAACATATCTTCTGTTTCTTCTGTTGAAATTGATTTTATCACACTTCCTCAACCAAGAGATGCAATTCTGTGAAAATTGGCTTCAGTACTTCTATGTTGAAAACATGAACTGTTTGGGTCACCAAGACAATGTAATTTATCTATTACAAGCATATTTGCTGAGCCTCGTTCTGTATAAGGTGTACGTAGGTCTTTACAAGGCTCCCTAAAAGAAGCTGAGTCTAATAGAGGGGCTAATGCCTAGAATATATGAGAACAAGATAAGTGCCCTAAAGGATGCACATTACCAAGGAAAATGTTTTTGTTACAAGTGACAAGACTCCAATCAAGTGAGCATATACAAAAGGGAAAATGATTGGTTCAGGTAAACCTAATGTTGTCTAGTATCCATGCTTACTTGCACCTGCCCCGTCTCACAGTCCCCTGCCTGACAGCCTGATCTTCAACCTTGCTTTCTTCATGAGACTGGAACTATAGCCAGCTCTATGTTCCCTTCATTCCAGATAAACAAGCAGAGGAGAGAAGATCCCCAGTCCCCATTCCCTTACTCATTCTCATTCTGTGCCATTGGGAAAAATCCCAGGGAAGGACTCTAGCTGACCTGATTTGGGTCACATATATACCCTTTGACCAGTCACTGCGACACAGCTGTGTTGTCAGAAGGGTGGGGGGAGTAGAGTTTGACAACCTTTTCTAGAACTACATAGTTAAAAAAGGGATGAGAGTTTCCACTCAATGATTTTGGCTATACGGTGATCAGAAAAAGAGGTAATGATAATGAGAAAGGAAAAAAAATGAAAGCAATCTGTACTCTGAGAAGTATATATGGAGTGAAATGAGAGTTTAGAAGAGAGGGAGAGGGAGAGATTGTTTCTTAGAGGAGGAATTCAGTGAACCCGGATTGGGTCTTAAAATAATAAATGGGCGTGAACTTTCAGTGACTGAGAAGAGCATTTGAGAAAGAGGGCAGTACCAGCTTGAAAGCAGAAGAGTTTACAGTATATACAGGAGAGAGAACAGTGAAGTAGAGACAGAAGCCAGGCTGTAGAAGAAGGAAGACTGCAAACGTGGGTTTGTGCCTCTTGTGGGAGAACTTTGAGAGGAGTTTGACATTAATTTTTTAGTCCGCATGAAGCAGAACAATAACACTGAAACCAACTTTAAAGAAATCAATCTTGTAGACTTGTGGGAGTTGAATTAGTTGACAAAGTGAAGAAAGACGTAACAAGAGGTTCTTCCAGTGGTCTAGGTGAACAGTCTTGAGGATCTGAGTGTATTGAGAATAATACCAAGAAGCAAGCAAAACTTTGTATTGGGCATTACTGAACATTGAATCCTGTTCACAGTATGTCTTCATGATTTATGACTGATTGTTGCGGTCTTCCTCTTATTTCCCCACTCTCGCAAATGTCATTGTGATAAACAAATCCAGTGCTATACGTATCCATTTGGTACCTAGCTCCTATTAATAATGTGAAAAGAAATAACTGAGCACACAAATAAGTGATTTGGTGTTTTCTCAGGAAAGAAAACTTTCAAAAGGAGGAAAATCTACTGCCAAATAACTCAGCACCTCCTGCAGAACCACAAGATGTGGAAGAAAGTCATTGAAGAGGAACAGCGGTTGGCGGGCCTAGAGAATCAGTCCCTGGACCCGTCCCCCCAGCAGCATTCTTCAGATCAGATCCAGGCCATCAGGGAAGAGGAGGAAGAGAAAGGGAAGCCCAGAGGAGAGGAGATCCCAACCGCCGAGCAAAACCAGTGACAGTTGGATACAATGAGCTGTGTTTCCAAACAGAGTGACTTGTCACAGACTCTTTTTCAAGCCAGCACAACACTTAGACACAACACTGTAGAAATATGAGAAGATGGGCAAACAGCTATTGCATTTTGGGATTCTTCGCATTTTATGTGTTTATTTTTACAGTGAGGTACATTGTTAAAAACTCTTGCTCAGAGAAGCTTTCACATTTGCAACACCAGCTTCTAAGGATTTTTTTAAAGGAAGAAATATATATGTGTGTGTATATAAGCTCGCACGTAGATACATGTAAAACATATTCACACACATACACGCACATGCACACTGAAAGCCAGGCTTACTGGCTCCACAATTTAGTAACATTCATATTAAGATATATAGTGGTCACTGTGATATAATAAGTTATAAAGGAAAAAATAAAGGAAAACAAATCACAAAGGCAATGGTGCGGCTTAGCAGGGAAACAGTGCAGTGAATGTAGGTTACCAACTAAGGAGCTTTTGCTCTTAGTCCTGACGGATGAAAGTTCCAGAGCATTATTTGAATTCTTATACATCCTGCCAACATTGTGTGTGTTGTGTGTGTGTGTGTGTGAATGTGTGTGTGTGAGAGAGAGAGAGGAGTGAAAGGGTGCTTGTGTGTACGTATGTGTGTATGCAGAGATTTTTATGGTTTTAGTAGTTCATAGAATAGCTGCAGCAGATGACGCAGCACATCTGAACAAACAGAAGGCAGTTCATTCTGGAGTGTCTTTGAGAGGCCGCCGTCCCAAACGCCTTCCTCCATGCAGTTTCAGTACAGATCCCTCCGCAGAGGGAGGGTATTCACAGGCTGGTGAGAGGGCCACGTGACTGGTACTACTGCTCATGCACCACTTGGAGGCGCTCTATCGCCAGCCTTAAACCTGGAAGACCGGCATTTTCCAATCTACTTGCCTAATGAATGTATAGGAGCTGTTTGTGAGTTGTGATCTCACCCAAGATCAAATCACCTTTTTAAGGGGATAGCATTCTTTATACATAAACACCTAAGAAGGAGCTGGAGGCAGATCTTTTAATTAGGTTAGAATTCTCAAACGTTGACAGAGAAGACCTGGGGAATTGCTCTAACAGTGATACCCTGTGTCTTAGTTTGCTGCAAAATGCGTGGTAGAAAAAGAAGAAAGAAAAAAGACAAAAAAACCCACTGTGGGAGGATATATAGTGAGAGATGAAGGGGGAAAATTTCAACCCGGGGTTTGGTGTTTGTTGACATAGTGAAAGACCGATTCTTGGCAACTATTGGAGATTGGCTTTGCGTGGCAAAGTTCCCACTGATGGCCCTGTTGTGGTGGTCCACGTGCTGTGGGATGGGGTGGCTTCTATCTGCAGTCTGGTCCGTTGTCTGTTCCTTTTGGCAGGGAAGATTATAGAGGGATTTGGGGGGGACTGGGCCTATTATTGAAAGTCTTTTTTTTTTTTTAATTTTGTTTATCTACACTTGTTTATGCTGTGAGCCAAACCTCTATTTAAAAAGTTGATACTCACTTTCAATATTTTATTTCATATTATTATATTTGTCATGAATAGTTATCTTGATGTAAATATAAGATTTTTTTGTTTCTGTAGATAGTAAACTCTTTTTTTAAAAAAAAGGAAAAGGGAAACATTTTTATAAAGTTATATTTTAATCACCATTTTTATACATTGTATCTATCTCCAAGCCCAGTAAGAGAGTGATGATTCATTTGCACGGAGGTCTATGGACAGCCGCTTATCTACCTATCCTAATTTAAATGATAATCTGATACAGTTATTTTATGCCAATTAAATGAGGATGCCACAAAGAAGGTTTTTTCACTGGGAACTTTTCCTAACTTTTGTGTAATTTTGGGGTCCATGTCTCCCAAAGAGAAAGACTTTCTTAACCAATACCGAATTTTTATGATTGGTGTCCATTTCTTGCCAACACTTTTTGGTCATAATTCCTCTTTCAATACTATGTACGCAACTGCTCATCATTGAAATGATCTTAGCTTCTAAGGAGACCTTGATGGTGATTTCTAATTTTTATTTCCTCTGACATCATAGAAAAGAGTGTTTACATTTTAAAGATGCCTTTGTTTCTCATGAATGAATATTCTTCCCTCCCAAAATAATGATTGTACATTAACCCGTGGCATTTTCCAAACAAGGCAAAGATAATATGATCAAAAACAAACACATTTTCAAAGCAAATTTCCCATTAAGTAAGAAAAAATGAAAAGGCTCAAGTAAATGCAGGCTCTACTTAAATAATGAGAATAATTTCATATTTTTTGACTTCACACTATGTCTTCATTATTCAGGATGTACTGAGTTGTTTTCCATTTTCTTAGTGTTGCCTGTGTGTCTCATGTTTGCAAAAATTACTGTGAGTCAGATACATTTATTTCCCCAGTGACTTTAACTGTTCTCCAGCCCTTGCAAATAAGAGAGGAGGAAAAAAAATTTGTGCTCACATACCTCTTGCATTTAATTCCTTAACAAAATGAATCTTTTCCCTTTCTCCAAATGCCATACATATCTAAAACACTTGTTAAGTAGAGGAAAAATATGGTTGTGGAGCAAGTGGAATGACAGCCGTTCAGTTGAGAGTCTAGAAGCATACACTGGCAGCTTCGTCAAGGTTGGAAAGCCCCAAATAGGGGCCAGCCTGACTGCCAGAGTAGAGGTCTTAGCAAACTACCTGGTTTCATTTATTTTGTTTTAAAATACATGAAGTAATGGTGGCCAAAGCACTTAGAACCTCTTCATTCCAGAATTGTGTTCATCAGTCCAGGCAGATTGACCATTTTTTCTTCAAAAATAAATTCCCAATCTATTAAAGCTAAAAGTCCATTGAAATAAAGGAATGGAGATCAAGTATGAGACTTTCATACACACTCATGACATCCCAAAGGATGCCTAGGGACATAAAGAGATGTGTTCCGCTGATGATATTCACCCCCGCCTTGGTGACAGCAATATTACCGTGTTCACTTCCAACTCTGGAGCTTACTCCCTGTGGTGCCAGTGTATTTGTTGCCATTTACTACATTTTTATATGAGCCTATGTAATGGTGCCATTAGATAAACTCAGGTCTTTCAAATGAAGGAATTTCTAGCCCATTTAGGAAAAGGGGTAACTGTATAGATAGCCATAAAACCAATGGTAGGAAAATTTGGAACTGGTGACCTTGATGCTAGGGGTCGCTTTCTGTTAAGGAAAAGACCAGGTATCCTGTGAGCATCATTGGTGTTCTTTCCAGCGTGCTCATAGAATGTTTTTTCAGTTATCCGTCTAAGCCAACCTTTAGGATATTGTTTCCTTGGTGAAAACACCACTTTAGTTTTTTTCTAAGTGATAAAATTGTATTTTTTGTCATTTGTATAAGACTTAGTTTTGCTCTCAGTAGAAGATGAAGACAGTAGCTCTGGATAGATCTGTATTGGTCTTCATCTGACAAGTGAAGGGATGTCCTCATATTTAAGGAAATACTCATTTTCTAAAAGAATACCCAATTCTGTGTGTTCCATTTTGATGGAATTCCAGAACAAACCCTAACCATTGCAATCCCAGTAAAACTAAAGAAAAGGGATTGTAGGACATGCAGACTGTTCATATTACCTCTATGTATTGTGATTTCCTCATGTCCCCTGCCTCTCTTGATTTACGATTTCCTGACGTCCCCTGTCACGTGCCCAGAGAACTTTCTTTGAGGGTAAAAGCTGTGCAAAACGCATGAGACTCAGGCCTATTCTTTGTTTAAATGGTGGAAAAATATAAATTATTTTCTAAGTAATAAAGATATGAAAATTATCATCGTAAATAAAGTCTAAAGCTTGAAATGACTGTTTTACAAAAGTGAGCTATTTGTGTGATGAACAACTCCTGAGTAATGAGAAGTGAATAATCAAAAACTCATTTCTATCCTACTTTGGCAGGTATTTTTTGGTGCTTCTCTGTCAGTATGGGGATCTCCACTCCTTGCCTTTTAAGATATTTCTAAAACAAGAATGAAAACTCCACAGTAAGGATCTTACTGTCCTCTCTTCCATCCTGATGCTGAGTCCCCACTTGATGGCTTTCTAGCTTATATGCCACTTTGGAAATAAACTGTCTTTTCAAACTGGCAGAAGGCTCTAGTAAAACAGAGTTTTGTAAACTTTTGTAGTCTGGGGTAAATCAAGATTCTCCTTATTCTAGAGATTATCAGCTCCTGCACGTGGAAAGAAAATATCAATAAAATTTCAAATGCTAATAGCTCAACTCCAGACCATTGAAAGCTAAAATATCTATATAGTTTGAATCCAAACTGAGTTTCCTTTGTTCACCTTTTCTCCTAACAAGCAACAAAATACCTTATGATCATTGTCCTAGGTCATTCATTTCTCTCATGATTTTTCCATGAAAGAAAACTGAATTTGCCGATATTGTCAGTCTGTTTCTAATCTGTTCAACAGAATTCCACTTTAAGATTAGGAAACCAAGTAGCCATTTTAGATGAGGAGCATTCCAAAATTAAATTACTCGTAGAACTTCTAATCAGAGCAAATTATGCAAGTTTTAGGTCTATATTCATATCAGGTTGTTCCTCTAGAAAATATTCAAATTCTTATAGCAAGTTTGGGATAAATTAACTAGACTATAAGCACTGAGTTAATGAAACTGCAAACAGAGCATTGAATAACTTAACTTGAGGTTTTGCATGGTATTTATCATGTTTAGCACTGATGATCGATCCATGGTCAGAGAACAAGAACAGGGTTTTCAGTCTCCATGATGCACCTTGGATGGTAGGGCATTTGTGAATCACCACACATTTCATTTGTTAAAATGATGCTGCTTTTCCCTTACCTAATGGTGCTTTTACCTCACCTGAAGTGTTCTTAATGTTCATACTATAAAACCATTCTAACAGCAGGTTAACAATGGTGACACAAAAGAATTGGCATTTTGTTGCAAAATACATTTGGAGATCCAAAACTGAACATTAAAGCTTTATTATTTGGTGGAACTCAGTGTTCACATCCGCAGATTCAAAAAGACTGATCCTCCATTAACTGTTTAAGTGCAGTAAGACTGTAAACTACGTGGACTTATATAGAGATGAAAAACAAAATTGGTTTTTGGTACATGCTTCAGGTTCTAAAAAGAGCCTGAATTTCCTATCTAAGGGCAGCTAGTTCTTCTCCATATTATACTTCTGAGGTTGATTGCCTTGACAGGCATTGGTATTCATGGATTTCTGCTTCCCTGAGGAGTGGTGGAACAGAGAAGAGAAGTCAAGCCGACGCCTTCTTGATAAGAACTACTGAACATGTCTGTGTTCAGAAAGGTTTCTTCATTGCTTCACATCAAGAAGTGGTTCTTTGATCATGCAAATAATTCAATCAAAAAATGCTTCAAAGAGAGTAATATTAAAACATCCTATGTAAGTACTATCAAGAATATTTAAATTTGATTAAGCTTTTGAGCCAAAGCTATTTAAAAAATTGTTTTTTTAATTATTTGACTAAAACAAAACTTGCAAAATGGCATTCCATGGTATAGAGATGTTAAATATATTGATATAATCAGAACTATTGTGTAACAGAAAACTGGAAAGAGTATTTAGTTCTTTTTCTAAGGTATGTCATGCCTCAGGGAGGCAAATGCTTTATGGAGGGTCCAAGAAGTACATGAAATAGATAAAAATAAATTTAGTCCCAATAGTTTAATTAGATCAAGTGTACAAATTATAGCCCGAGTTCTTCTGGGTTTTCCCAAGAAAAAGAAATGTGTTATCATCCAGCAATTTATCATGGATTAGGTTGTTTTTAAAATAAGTGGTCTATTAATGTAGATTATATTTTACTAAATTGTAACACACTGAAAATGCCAAATACTTATCTTCATTACTAAGAAAATCACATCTTATTAATCTTGACTTTCACAGATGAAGCACTGACCAGGCAATAATCCACACCCACTGCTTCATCTACCAAGACTGACCAAATGGTAGGTTGGAATTTGGAATTCATTAATAGAAATGAAATTTTTTAAAAAAACTATTTTAAAACTTTACTGCCTTAACTAAAATTTCAGTGTCAGAAGTACTTCTTTCAAATGAAACAAATTGTAGCAGGATGGTCTCCCTTCCCTCTTAAAAAAAACAAAAACACACAAAAAAACAAAGTCAAACTCATAGGAGAAAAGTGGGGCTTCTCTTCAATTTTATTTCCCTAACTCAAAATAGTAAAGCAAAAGGAATCAGAACTTCTCTGCCACAATAAGGAGAAAGAACGCCTTTCACCCCAAGTTCTAACTCGCCATGCCTGGTTTCATTGTGCAGCCCGTGGTATTAAAAAAAAAAAAAAAAAAAGGCGGGGGGTAGAGCTATGGTTTGGGAGTGAACACTACATAAAATGTGAAGGATCACCCCGGGATACCCCTCCATCTTTGTGACAAACCAATTTAGTTATCAGTTACTCTGGAGTAAAGGGACTTAATGGATCCATATTTCAACCCTGACTTCCTTTATTACACTCAGCACTTACACATGTTTTGGAATGTGAATTAGCCCTTGGAGCTTGGAAACTGCTGCTTGAGTACCTTTTGAAGGGAAGGAATTTTTTTTTTATACTAGTAATTTTACTCCCTATATTATAGCAAAATATTTGGATGATTAATGCAAAATTAAAAGTAATTGTTTAGAGATGTTTTATTTGTGTATATAACTTGTTGGTTGTTAGAATTTTCCATCAATCTTCTTTTAAAAGTTAACTGATTATTTTTATGGCTCAAGCAACTCCTATCATATTTTGTTTTAGCTAGTTATAAGCATAAACCACCAATACTACAGTGTTGCTATCTTTAAATGATAACCCTAACATACCTGTATATTACTTGTTAGTGGGGTTTATTGGCCTGACTTTTAGCATATACTTGTTCATTGTTGTTTTTTAAAATCACTGTTTTTTAATACTCTGTGAAATATTTGCATGGGATTTTCACCATATTTTGTTTTGCTTAACTGGTGGTTTTGTTTTTGTTTTCCATTTTTGAGTATCACTTTACTTCTTGATACATTCTCACCGAAGAATACATACCCTTTTTGTTCCAACAAGGACAGTTTGTTAGTTGATGAGCACTGGAAATAAATATCACTGAACCCACCCACCCCCTGATATTTCTTCCTGAGGATTTTTATCATGCAAATCACAAAATGAAAATTGGTGCTTTTATAAATGTTCTGAAACTTTCAGAACAAATAAATGAAACAAATAATGAAAATGAGAATCTCCCTGGGTTTCTATAATGCTATTAGGATGTGCAACTGAAAGAACTGTAATTTGAATCTAGAATATTTTTGGTTTGAGTTAATTTGGTTAATTTGATTTGGTTTTTGGTGTTAAAATGGGTTTCTTATTCCCGATGGAACAGTTGTTCTGATTGTCATTATTTCTTCCTTTTCCTGACCGAAAACCCAAAAAACAAAACAAAACAAAAAACTGCCATTGGAAAGTTTAAATTAGCATGTCCCAAATATTTGACTTCTTGAGTACTTGCAAACCAGAGTACTTGCAAACCAAATTTAGTATTCCTAAAAAGCAATATTTTCAAAGAAGTACCAACCAAAGTAACAGTATAGGGGATGTCATTTGCACATGACAGTTTTTAACAAGGTAATTCTTACCACTTCTCAATTGAATATGTTTATTAATAACTTTCCAAATTTATCAACTTATAAAAACCCAAAAGTGAAGCATTGGACTTAAGTGATCATTTTGCAACTGAAATAAATCTTTTCCTTTCACCTGTACCTTGCACTTAATATATGCAGCAATACTTCATATCTTCCTATCTTAATTATTTGTTAAGTAATTTAGTTAATTGCTGATAAGTATTTTGTAAAAAGTAAAATTGTACAGAAAAAATATTAGATAAGTTGTACTTATTTTTATTGTTTATTAGCTTAGACACTACAGTGACGCTCCTTGTTTGCCAGAATTACTGGAAGTGCCTCTTGATTTTATAGATTTTATATATGTATATATATTTACATATATATTATATATATAAAAATATTACAGTAAACATATACTCAAAATCATTAGAATTGTGTCACAGGTGAACAGTGTGGATGTTACAATGTGAAAACAATGTATAATATAAATACAATTCTGTGGTATTATGTTTGATGTAGTTATTTGTACAGTTCAAGTCCTCCATCCAGTTTTGAAGGCATCCTTACCTCTTATTTCCAAATGCAGCGGCTTGTGCCCAGACTATGCATGCTGTAGTGAGCCATCCATTGGCCTGTCTACGATTCCTAAGGACTCACGGGGGCTTCTATTCTCATGCTCGCATTCCCTTCCCGATCACTGATGAATTCTTAGGTGCGTTAATCTTCATCTCTCTGTAGCTAAGCTGTGTTCTTTAATCAAATAGTCAACACCATAACCAAGATCCCTGGATTTCTGGCATTTAGCCTCAGAATCCTATAAAATAAGCAGTTCAGCCCTTTAGCCTATAAATAGTACAATTTATCCTATAAAGACTGTCTGTCGATGCCCAATACATGGGATATTTGGTTGTAAAGACTCAGAATTATTTTTGTTCCACGTATTTGAAAGCTTTCGAAGACTTTGAAGGATTCAAGACAGAGTGTTTTAGTTAACTCAGACATGGAGTCCTCAGAAACAAAAGCAAAATGTGATTTCTACCCAAAGTTCTCGAGGATTAATTCTTCAAGCTTACACATACAGATTTCCCCTTTACCTATTAGACAAAATCCCTGCTCCTATGTTTGGTGTATTCATAGCTTTCTTCCCTCTGGTCCAAAACTATCCCCTACCAAATAACTAACCATCTATCATTTATATTTCTATGTCTTGGGCAAATTATATCAGTGGAGTATATACACAAACTGTATACTCATATTTTCTTTCTTCCTTTGTGTACACACACACTCTTCCAACCACAGACAGCACAAAGGAGCAAGACTGACAATATCTTCTCGAGATGTGAATCTTATCCCTCGCCCAGGGCTATCCTCTTACAGTGATGCTATGGTCCTCAGTGGAAGGAAGGCAACATCTGGCTATTCCTGACTGATCCTTCATCTCCTTCCTGCAATTAGGTGCAGTCAAACTTGTTTTAGGTAAGGAAAAGTTAATTCACATGGTAGGGTAAGAGAGGTGATGATATATGTATCTTTCCAATGGATCCTGAGATTCAGGCCAGAGCAAAGGGATGGCAGTAGAAAGCCTCCTAGATCAATTCAGTGTGTCCTGGCTCAGCTCTACAGATCACCTCTATGCCTGCTAAACCATATGAGGTGGAGCTTGGGATATGGATGCACCCTAACCAATGAAAAGAAAAAAGAAAGAAAATCAGTTCTTAAATAATTAGAAAATCTTCCACTTGTTAGGATAAATTTAAGCTTCTTTAATCCTGAAGCTACTTCATGTCCTGATCATTCCTTCTGACATCATTGCTGGCTTAGGAAAGGAGCCCAAGGTCCACTTCTGCTGAAATCTGTCAGATTTGAAGAACTGTCCAGCTGCCCATGCTGTCTGGGATCTTTTGGCCTCTTGGGACCAGTCAGAGCTGGATGGGTATGCGTTTGTGTGTGTGGTGGGGTTGGGGGGAGCATATCGCTTCATACTTTGTCGTTAGCACTCAGGAGGTACAACGGCTCCTTGCTCTATTGTCAATTTGACTGACTTTTCCCTGCCAGATGCTAAAGGTGAATTCATAGAAGGCCTAGTCTTCAGAGACTTCGAAGTAGTTAACGATGATGTATTCGTTTTCTATTTCTGCTGTAATAAATTACCACAAACTTGGTGACTTCAAACAATGCAAACCTATTCGCTCACAGCTCGGCCAGGTGGAAGTCCAGACGGACTTGGCTGGACTCTGCTTCTGGTCTCTCACAAGATTGAAATCAGATGTTTGCCATCTTCCCTGAAGTCTCTAGAATCCGCTTCTGAACTCGCTTAGGTTGTTGGCAGAATGGAGTTCCTTGGGTTAGAGGACTGAGGCCCCTATTCCTTGCCGGCTGGCCCCTGGGAACCTCTCTCAGCTTCTTCAGGCCATTTCCTTTCTCCAGGCATTGTTTTGTTCACCAGTCCCATCTTTAAACCGGCAATGTCACATGATTCCTTCTTAGACTGTAAGACTTTCTCACTTCTGCTACATCCTTTCTGTCTCCAGCTAGAGAATGGCCTCTGCTTTTAAAGGCTCTTGTGATTATATTGGGCCCAAAGAATCCAAAACGATCTCCCTACTTTAAGATCTTGAATTACATTTTGAAAAGTCTCTCTTGCCATGTAACTTAACATATTTACAATTTTCTGGGGATGATGGGGTGGACATCTTTGGGGGCTATAATTCTGTCTTACACAAATTATGAGTAGGATAAGGAACACAGTGAAGATAAAGAAGGCATATGGGCCACACAGTTATTCTACATAATGGAAGCTCATGCCTACAATGAAATTGAGGGGAAGGTATAGAGATTTCTCATATACACCCTGCTCCCATACACTCAGCCTCCCTCATTATCAATATCCCTATCAGAGTGGTATAGTTGTTACCACTTATGAACTATTTATGAACACATCATAAATCACCCAAAGTCCATTATTTACCTTAGGGTTTACTCTTGGTGGTGTACATTCTAAGGGTTTGGACAAATGTATCATGACATGTATTCATCATTATGGTATCATATAGGGTATTTTCATTGCCTTAAAAAATCCTCTGTGCTCTGCCTATTCATCACCCCAGCCCTAACCGTTGACCACCACTGGTCTTTCACTGTCTCCATAGTTTTATCTTTTCCAGAACGTCCTAGAGTTGGAAACATACAGTATGTAATGTAGCCTTTTCAGATTAGTTTCTCTCACTTAGTAATTTGCATTTAAAGTTCCTCCATGTTGGGGTGCCTGGGTGTCACAGTTGGTTAAGCATCTGACTCTTGGCTTCAGCTCAGGTCATGATCTCAGGGTACTGAGATCCAGTCCTGCATCGGGCTCCACGCTCAGTGAGGAGTCTGCTTGAGATTCTCTCTCCCTCTGCCCCTCCCACTTGTGCTTGTGCTGTCTCTCTAAAATAAATAAATATTTTAAAAAATAAATAAATTTCCTTCATGTCTTTTCATGGCTGGGTAGCTCATTTCTTTTTAGTATGGAATTATATTCCACTGTCTGGATGGACCACTGTTTGTTTATTTACTTGCTGAAGGACATCATGATTGCTTCCAAGTTTCAGCATTCCAAGCTGCTATAAACATCTGTGTATAGGTTTTTGAGTAGACATACGTTTTCAACTCCTTTGGGTAAATACCAAGAAGTGTGATTGCTGGATCATATGAGAAGAATATGCTTAGTTTTATAAAAAACCACCAAACCCTCTTCCAAAGTGTGTGTACCATTTTACATTCCCACCAGCAATGAGTTTCTAGGCCTTTTCAGTGCAGAGATCTGGGATATGTATTACTCAGACTGAAAACTCCTAGTTCCAACATGGAACTACAAAGTTTTTCTTAACCTCATTCAACTTAAATTATAAATGACACTTTAAGTGATAAGCCTGGATGAGGTCATAAGGGAGTAAGTGTAGGTAGAGCAAAGAAGATATTCCAAGGACTGAACTGTGCAGTGCTGTGGCAATGGATATTAACAGAAAATGACCACTGAGGCAGGAGGAAAAGTAAGGGAGTGTGGGGTTCCAAAAACTGGGTGAAAAAAAATGGGTCAAAGAAAATGGCACAATCAGTGGTACACAATTCTGCTAATAGATCAATTAAAATGAAGTCTGGAAATTGATCACTGGATTTATTAATGTGAAGGTCTTTGATATTATTGACAAAAGCAGTTGTGGTAGAATGGTGGGAGCAAAAAACAGAACTGGTGAGACAAGAAATGGAGAAGAGGAATTTTAGCTAAGGAGTACAGATGAAAGAGTAGTCTTAGAAACATGGACCATACATCCATAGGAATAGAAAGAAGACAAATAATATGAATACACATGCAGGTGGGGAGTAAATGTGGTGAGAGCAGAATACAGTATTTCTTTCCTGATTTTTAGAATTTCATCAGTGAGTTCCCTAAGCAAGGTCATCAGTTGATAATGAAAGTTGGGGGGAAGAAAAGTTTGAGGAAATCATTCAGGAGAAAGGGAAAGTGATTAGGTTATTAAAAGGTATATTTAACAATGCCTCTAAGACCCAACGAGGTTAGAGGTCATGAGTTTAAGATAAGCCCTGAGGGCATGTTAGTGAGTTTTTCTTCAAGTATTGAAAATAGTTGGATGTAAACACAGAGTAGACAGGAAGTTGAATTAGCCCAGCTATGGTTTGCCAAGGAAGAACAACAAATTAACCAATGGACAAAGGAATGCACCATTGCGCTATAGAAGTGAGTGATTAAAAAAATTGCATGAAACTCAGGTAAGGAGAGAAAAGACAATATGAATGTTCTGGGTTAAATTGTGCCCCCCCCCCAAAAAAAGTTGAAATCCTAGCCCCCTGTATCAGTGAATGTGACCTTATTTGGAAATAGGATCTTTGTAGATGTGATCAAGTTAAGATGAGGTCACTGGAATGGGTCCTAATAAACTATGACTGGTGTCCTTTTAAGAACAGGAGAAGACAGAGACACACAAGAGAAGATGGTCATGTGACAATAGAGGCAGAGATTGAAACGATAAATCTACAAGCCAAGCAATGCCCACAATTATCAGCAAGCGCTGAAGGTAGAAGAGGTAAGGAAGGATCCCTGTAGGTTTTAGAGGGAGCATGGCTTTGCTGACACCTTGAGTTTGGACTTCTAGCCTCCAGAACTGAGATAATAAAGTTCTGCTGCTTTAAGCCACCCAGGTTGTGATACTTTGTTATTGCAGCCCTGGGAAACTCGTTCATTTATGGTTAATTACTCACCACAATGGTGGAGTTGAGTGGTTTTGATAGAGATTATATGGTCGGCAAAACCTAAAATATTTACTCTTTGGCCCTTTGCAGGAAAAGTTTGCTGACCTGTGGTCTACAGTATGGAAGTAGGATACAGTCCAATGCAGGGCTATATACATGAGAAGCTCTGACTATTATGTAAAGTAAGTATTATGTACATTCAAAACTGTAACATGAACTGTGGACTCAAGCGGTCAGAAGAGGAACCATGATAGAGAGTGAACTTGAGCAAATTGGGGGTAGGCCAAATTACACTCTCAGGGGAGAACCGCATTTCTCGGTGAGGATAGTAAACACTGTTTCCCCTTAAATGTACCAATGGCCACCTGTTAGACGCACTAAAAAGTGTAAGACCTATTGTGATGCTTGCTCACTAGCAAAGGCCGGTTTGATTGCTAAAATAAAATATTTGGTCTTTCAGAGTCTGAATGCACCATTGCTTCTTTGTAAGATTTATTATTTTCTTTTTATTTTCCTTGTATCCTTTTTTTCTTTTAGTAGTAAGATGTGCTTATAATCATATTTGATTATTGGTTAATGATCCTTACCATTGTGTGAACTGAAATTATACATGTAATGATGATACTTTCCAGTCATTTGGTGCTTTGTTATTTGAAATATACTTTTGAGTATATCATATCATTAAATCTTTAAAACAACCCTATGAATGTGTTTTGTTTTGATTTTAATAAAAATTCTGCTTTATGAAGTTGAGATTCAGTAAAGTTTAGTGACCAGGCCAGAGTCACAGCCATTTAGGAATATGGTGGATCTTGGGTAATACTGGTAGCAAATTCATTTATTCCTATAAACCAAATGCAAGCTAATACTGCTCAGAATCTCCTAAAATGGTACTCTTGGGAAAAGAATTTATTATAATTGTAGAATTTTTAAGCGCAAGGAGTTCTCTCTCCTTGGAATTTAGATAGAATAAACAAGTGGATGCCAAAAATTCAGTGTTTTTCTTTTTTTCTATTAGACCGTTATAAATTGGATATGAGCAACTGATCATGTGTCTGAGAACTGACCCTTTCTAGAGAGAACTCTGCAGAGCCTTGATCCTGACCTGGTACACGCAGTCCCTAAGATTCTAGAATCCCAACGAGAAAAGAAACCACGCAGAGATTTAGCCTATGAGCCTTTTTTTTTTTTTTTTTTTAAATAGAAGGATCCCAGTGATGTCCTCAAGGAGCAGCTGGCTTAAAAACTTTTTGGAAGGAGAAGGAGGGATCTTTGTTACAAACTTCCGCCCCTCCTCCTGCTTCTGTTCCCTTCCCCTCTGCCCCCTGCAGAGTTGTGTTTCTGGGAATCAGCAAGTAAGATCACAAGTGGTCTTTTCTCCTTTCACTCTCTCTCATACAGAAAGCTTTATCACGTGTGGCCTTAAACTTGCAGCAAATTGCAAAGAAATGGCTCAAAAGCTTCAGCTCTCTCTGTGCCCTGGGAGCTGAGATGCACGTCAGTGGCTTTTCTGCAGACTGCCAGAGAAAAGAGGCTAGGAGGAAAGAGGAAAGAGTCGAAATTGCCCAGGGGTGAGACCATGCCCTTCCTCTTTTCTTTCCCCTAATTTGCTCTGTCTGTGTCCATCCAGGCTCTCCTCACCTGGCAAAACTGCTCAGAGCTGCTGTAGAATTCACCCCAGTTTTCTCTTTCAATCTGTGGGGAGTGGGGTCCAGCCCCTCGCTGAGCACATTGGGAGGAATTGGCTGTCTTTGATCTCCACCTCCAGGTAAGATTTAGTTCTCTGCTTTCCGGTTTTGTGACTATCACGTCCGATTCTCATAGGAGAGAGGCTAATCAGCCCTTCAGTTCTGCACGGCACTCGTCTTATCCATACCCACCGTCAAAGTTGTTGTGGCCCTTGTTAGGTTAAAGGACCCTGGTTAAAGTCAGATCAATTCAGATCTGGGTTCAAATTTTGACTCTCATAACTTACTAGTTGGGTAGTTCTTGACCAGTCACTCTGAGTTGTATCATTTTCTATAAAATGGGGATTCTGATGCTTACCTTGGTGAGTTGTTTTAAGGATTAGCAAAAGGTATATCATTCACCTGGCACAGAAATAGTACTTATTCAATCTGAATCTGACACAGTTAGTTGTATGGGGTGGGGCGGGGGAGGGAGGCAGGGTTCAGCTTTCTTAACACACACTCCTTGTTCGCAAGTACCATGAGATTACTTGGTGCCCAGAAGACAAGCTAGTGCAGAGGTTTTCCTCACGTGGGTGTGGATGACTAAGAGAAGAGGGTGGCTGCTTTCTGACTTGCTCTCTGGCAGTCTTTAAGGTTTGACTGTGGATGGAATCTATGTCACAGGATCACGGACAAGAGGTTCAGGGCATCTGCATGATCCAGTTACAACCTTCCTAGGCTGTCTGTGCTCTTTAAAGACTGGGAGATTGATTTTCAAACCCATATGAACAGAATTCAATTTTCTTTTTTTTTAAGAGAAATAGAGAAAAACTGGTTGGCTTCTTTTTCCATGGCCTCCAGCATAAGATACAGTCTTACCCAGGCTGTTGGATGAAAACTTTGCCATAACTCTTTTCCTGGTGGAATCTGTTCAAGTGGTGGGAGAACAGTTAAGGATTTGCCAAATGCAAATCCTTCTCAATAACTGTGTGCTCTTGCTCTACTTCTGAAACTGCAAATGAATGGGGGGAGAGAGAGAGAATCTGGAAGATCTTTCCATTCAAGTCTTTGAGCTCTCCTTCCCCTTCTTTTCACAGAGGAATGAAAAGCTCAATGCTCATAAACATAGCCTCCTTGAAACATATTATCCTTGAGATGATATGCAAATTAGCCATCAAGATGAAATTCTATTTTCAGTAAAAATCTGCAGTGTCAGTGTTTTAAGCTGAATGCTGTTTTGCCCTAACACAACATCATCTAGGATGGTGATAGTTCTCTTATTTTTGTTATCACTTCTGGATTCTAGGTAGAGTGATTTTTGTATGATCACCTCCAAGTATAAGAGACAATGTGTCTCAAGTTTTTCATATTGTTTTCAACATGATTGTTTTTCTCTTTAGCATTAGCATTCTGGTTGTCACCCTTCGAATCTTTTAAAGATACATTTAGTGTAGTGATAGTATATTTAATTATTAAAGAATTAATTTGCATGTTTTTGTCCACTGGCTTTTTATTATGATTGGCCAGAAATAATATATTGAACCCCTGAAATAGTAGGTCAATTTGAATGGTATTTAAAATTTTTCTGGTATATATTTCTAGCTTGGTGATATGTTTATACCTTTAATATTTAAAATATTTTTATATGTTCATTATAGAAAAATGAGAAAATATAGACACACAAAACATTTTTGAAAACATTATCTGCATTGTCACCAACCAGGAATAATGTGTTAACCTTTTCTTTAAAGACTTTCTGAAACTTTGTTTCTATGCATATACACATGTGAAAATGTGTGCTTCTTTTATAAAATAGAGTATTATATATATTGTTTTATACCATAGATTTTAAAAATCAGCTCTATAATAAACATAGTCTATATAGCTATATTTACTTCTTTTTACTAATTTCTAATGGCTTCAAAAGATTTCATTGCATGAATAAGACCATAATTTGTTAGACATTTAGGTCATTTAGTTGTTTTGACTTATTATTATTATTTATTATTATTATTAGCAGTGGGTCTCTAGCAGTTTAATTAAAGGTACTCAGTAGTCTTTTAGTTAGAAACCTATTTAACATTGCATAACCCAGTGTTTCTCAAACTCCCTTTTCATTGTTCTGAAAAATATTGTTCTGGACAACTAGTTTCAGTGACTCAGTGAACGTACAACGTTGGCCATAGGTATTAGAGAGATGGTAAAGAAGAATTTCTATGTCCTTAGTTTCTTAGAATTTGTTTTTTTAAAAATCAGGAATGGATGTTGAATTTTATCATCTGATGTTTTGCATCTACTGAGATTTTATTATTTTTTACTTCGAATTCCTTTTTTTTTCCAGCTTTACTGAGATGTGATTGACAAATAAAGATTATATAAATTCATGTCACACAATGCGATGTTTTGATATACCTCTATAACATGTTGAATTTTTATTGTGATGATTTAGGTGAATAAAGTTCCTAATATTAATTGTTACATTTTAAACTAGATCTTAGTTCAAGAATATAAATTCATTTGGATTTGCTAGTATTTTATTTAAAATTTTAGCATCTCTAAATTTCATATGAAGTGTTTTTCTTGTACTATCTTAATGAGATTTTATTATCAAAATAATTGTGACTTTTTAAAATGAATAGAGATTTTTATCATGTTTCAGTTACCTACTATTTTCTCCTTGAAGGATATCCCTTGATAAAGCACTCCTGTTACATCATTTATCCTTACTAGTTTTGTTTAGGGGATCGTTTTAGAGTATTTTTGTTAATGTCTTCCTTGGCTATTTTTCTCTTCCGGTCTGTATTAATACAGGTAATTAATATTTGCTAGAAAACTATCTATTTGGTCGAGACTTTAAAGTTATTTCTATATATTGTGCATAATTTTTATGTTTTATACTTTTAAACATCTGTGTTTAGAGCTCACTAATATTATATTCTGTGTCTTTGTCTTTTGATCTCGCTTAGCATTTTCTGCTCTTTGCTTACTTTAGTTCTTTGGTTTTTAACTTTTTTCTATTTCATTTGACTCTCTTTTGCCCATTTTTTAAAAGTTAAATTTATGTATCAAATAATCTAAAAATCAAATAATCTAAAAATCTTTTTTTTTTTTTTTACACAGGCCCTTGCTATACCCCTCTCAACTCATTTGCTACTCCCTGGAGGAATCTCCTCCACTTTTAATTGTTCAGGTCTTTCTTTTGATATTTAGTTAAATATTTCAAAATAAATTGATTTTTCAGTTTTGAGAAATTATCTATGAATTCAAACTGTGAAGGATGAGGTTTAGTAAACACAGAATAAGAATTACATAAAGTCAAAAAAAAAAAAGGATTACATAAAGTCAAAGCAGATAGGCAGAATAAGCCTAAGTTACTACCACAGTACATTAAATTTTACTCATAATGTTATTCCTTTAATTAGTGTGATAAAAATATAGGAGATTTCTATTAACATGCAAATGTATCATTTGATAAATATTAGGGTGATCCAGAAGTTATTTTGTTTTCTAATCTCTTCACTTACATTACTTTTTCAGGCAGGCACTGAGCCATGCAAAACCCTAAAGAAGTAGGCCATGGGACATGTAAATACTGATATGAATAGGGAGAAAATAGGTTCAGAGTATGTGGATCTGTCCAGGGCTTGGTAAGGATGGGCGGATGGGAAATTAAACATAGGAAGGGAGGCCATCTTTCTTACTTCAAGGCAGGTTAAAGTAATTTTTGCCTGAATTAAATGTAAGTCTGTGGCACAAATCGTGCTGCTTCTGTATCTGTCAAACTAAAATGATACATAAATTGGTCCTCTTCTTTTTTTGCCATAATTTATACCTTTCTTTGGATGCTGCACACCTATAGGAATTGCAGTGTGCTACAGGGATCTACAATGGGCATCAGTCTTTTCTACCCATTCTGTTAGGATAGATTTGAAGGCTTTAATGACAGTTTTCATGAATCAATATTCAAATGTTTGAATTCCTCTTCCTTTCCTGCTTGCTTCTAGTTTAAGCTGGCAAGACCACAAAGTTAGCAAAATTCTGCCTCATTATTTATTCCAAAAGCAACATTTAAACTTATTCTTTGCCATAATGAGGTTTAAGCTGTAGGGATTGGGAAAGAATGCTGGCTAGAGAGTCCCCATAGCTGGATTAGTTAATCAAATATACTGGTCAATTTTAATTGAAAAACTTTGCCAACTTACTGTGGTAAAATAAGGTAGCTTCACATCAAATCATGTCCCCAGCATCATGATCTACTGTGAAATAAAAACATTATTTAATAAATGGTGGATTCAAATTAATTTTTGTTTTTATTTTTTACTTTTGAAATCAACTTCGACAGGATCAGAGTCAAGGAATATTTTCATAATGGACACTTCATCCAAAGAAAATATCCAGTTATTCTGCAAAAGTTCAATGCAACCTGTCGGGCGATCTTCCTTTAAAACAGAATATTCTTCCCCAAAGGAGAAACAACGATGCTGTGGTAAACTGAAGGTAACAAACAATTAAATGGTAAACAAACAACCATAAGTAGTGAACGAAAGAGTAACAAAGAATTAGGTGGGAGGAAAAAAACACGAATTAGGTGGAAGCTATGTTGTTGACTCTCCATCCAGATATGTGCTATGCAATTTCATAATTCATATTTCTGTGCAATTACATATTTCCCATATGTAGCTAGAAGCAAGAATTTTTTTCCCTTTTTAAAAAGTGAACTTAGGTGCAATTTATTAAAACTACACTTTACCAGACAGTGAAATCCATCTCTCCCTACCATGTAGGTTAAATTCGTAAATATTACTCTCTGGACTCATTTGAATGCGCCTCTTAAACTGAAATAAGAGAGGAAAGAAACTAACATTTATTCAATTTTTACCATGTACCAGATATTATGCTAAGTATAGTTATAATATTTAATCCATAAAACATCCATATCATTCCCATTTTATAAATGAAAATTTTGACTTTATTTAGTTAAGTTTCCACTTGTGTGTCAAGCTGGAGTCAGATTAAGTGTGACTTGTCCTATTTTCCAGGTATTTTTGGGTGCCTTGTCTTTCGTCTACTTTGCCAAAGCATTGGCAGAAGGCTACCTGAAGAGCACCATCACTCAGATAGAGAGAAGGTTTGATATCCCTTCTTCAATGGTGGGAGTTATTGATGGTAGTTTTGAAATTGGTAGGTATTGCTGATGCCTGGTTTTACTTTTACATGTCTTCTAGGCATGACTAAATGACATCCTTGCTGCATTCTCTTGTCTGTTAGGATCAGAGTCTATCTGTAAATTCTTGTTGAGACAGAATTTGCTAGGACCTTATGTTAACAGTAGAGGCAATTTGTTCTTCCCAAGCAACCAACAATAAATTTGCTGCCCCAGGTGTTCAACACTGTATGAGTCACACAATTTAGAGTTTCCAATCAGAGTGAGAGACTTTCTTGGAGGAGAGGGTGAGGTGCTATTTAGGATTTTAAGTTAGAAGTATTTAGGAAGTGTTGTTACAAGAAGAGTCCTATATCCTGACAGCCCTGTGATTCAAAATTTGGAAGAATTCAGATGGGTTCTACAAATATTTATTGTAATAATTTAAGAAGTGAAACCATAAAAGGGGTTTCTGCCCAGAGGTCAACACAGAAGAGAAAGAAATCCTATTAACGAGAACAGTAGAGCAAGGCAGGCAAGAAAAATTCTACTCTCACATGTCTTTGGGTAGCAGTTGACTATAGACTTCCTCTTGGCACTTGAAAAGACCAAGTGATTTTAGTTACTGTTTTGGAAGTACTTTAAGAGTGTAATCCCAGGTACAACTTCCTGATTTGATAAACTACAAGGCTTTAATTCTTCACCGAAGTAAACAGAATGGTAGCCTCTGGGGTCCTTACTACCTGTTGGGACTCAAATATATGCTTTACTATATATAGTAAAATCTCTAATGACTCCAGGTTCAGCTCACTTAAACTTTCAGAAAAGTGAAGAAATATTTTTCAACTCTGCAACAATGACTTTTTAAATACATACTGTATATTTTCAGTTCTTACCCTGAATATCACAGAAAGAATGAAAAGAATGAATAGGTATAACCTTTTACATTTAGGGTTTTCTTCCCAAATCCATCTGTCAGCATCCTACTAAAATGGGATTACTTAGCTCAGTGCTAATCAAATGTTAATGTGCATACAAACAACTGGGCCATCTTGAAAAAATGCAGGTGCTCATTCTTTTAGGAAGGGGAATAAGACTGCCTTTTTACAGGCTCTCCTATGATGTGATGCTGTTAAGTAAATGGGCCATATTTTGTGCAGCAAGTTTCTAAAGCATCTGGTTATATCACTCCCTTGTGTAAATTCCCTAGATAGGCCTTGATAATTGATGTATTCCTTGATGCCTCTCCTATCTATAGCCCTAAACTGAATGAAGGTAAACTGAATCAAGGTAAGAGTGACACACTGAATCACAGGAAGAAACCTGTATGAAGAGGCAGCTGTTACAGATTGAAAGATTAAATCACATAGAAAGAAGAAGAAATGAGCAGATAGAAAATTATATATCAAGTGATACTTTAATTATGGCTCACTCTAGATTATGGTATAAAAACATTTTAGAGCCGAAGTCTTACAATATGGTCCAAATTTTTCTTGGGTCCCCACGTCCTGATGCAACTTGAGAGAGTCTATATTCGATAGAGAGTACTAATATTTCACAGGAAGTGACAAAGGATCTTGAGAATAAATTCATTCTTCCAGACCATTCCAAAGATGGAAGTTATTTATTGAATTAGATACAATAAAATGTATCTAATTCAATAAATAAAAGTGGGTTTCCTGACCATAATCTTAAACTACTCCTTTTGCCTCCTTCGTTCCAGGATTCTGGACCCACTCCCACCTTTGTCTCTAGCTCTCCTTTCTTCTTTTTTGTAGAACAATTTCATTTATCCTCTGATATCATTTGGCATTATTATCTCATGTCCACGTACTGGACACTCCATTTTTTTCCCAAGTATTTTTTCATAACAAAGTCTTTCTCCAACAACAACAGAGCTGCTAAGAAAATAAAAAAAAAGTTTTCTATATCATGACCTCCTAGTATTTCCAAATATTCTCTTTCAAATACTTTCCCATATATTCTTTTTTTTTTTAAGATTTTATTTATTTATTTGAGAGAGAGAGAATGAGAGAAAGCACATGAGAGGGGTTAGGGTCAGAAGGAGAAGCAGACTCCCTGCTGAGCAGGGAGCCCGATGTGGGACTTGATCCTGGGACTCCAGGATCATGACCTGAGCTGAAGGCAGTCGCTTAACCAACTGAGCCACCCAGGCACCCC